GTTGTGGCCTGGTTCGCCCGCGAGGGACTCACAAGGTCGATTTCGGCCCCGGCCGGGGAGCAGGCCGGGGAGGGGAGGAGGTGTAGAGGTGTACCGAACACATCATGTTCATCAATACTCGAAGTTGTTGTCGTCGTCAACGTCGTACTACTTTTTTTGTGTTTTCATTTTTGTTTTCGGTAATGCTAAATACGACAGCTGTGTCGTTCATCCTTAACTACGACACCATCCGAATCTCAGCTCAGAGGGCTCCATATGGCGTCAGACTAGGTTTGTTGGAACGCCACGGCTGTTAGCAATCACGCAAGCTTTATTTCAACTCCAGGGGCCACGCGGTTGGGAAGATATCATCGAGCAACGGGGTTCCGCGGCATTACGGTCTGGGTCCCTAAACGTAGGCTGCCATTTCTCAGCCCACAGGCTTCCAATGAGGGTCAAGTTAGGTTCGTTGCATTGCCACGGTTGTAGGCTATCACACAAGCTATGTTCCAACCCAATCGGCTATGTGGATGCGGAGATATTCTTGAAACGGGGGTTCTGCAGCATCATAGGCAGGGTCCCCTCACGTATCCGATCATATCTCAGCCAGCAGGGCTCTAAAAATCGTTCAGGTAGTTTCGTTAGAAAACCATCGCCCGCAGCTATTACTCAAGCTCTTGTTCAGCTCAATCCGCTACGTGGTTGCGGAGATATCGTCGAAAATGGGGGTTCCGCAGCATCACAGCGAGGGTCCCCTCAGGTATCAGGCCATATCTCAGCCCACAAGGCTTCAGTCGTCGTAAAACTGACTTAGTTAGGTAGCCACGGCCCGCAGCGATCGCGCAAGTACTTTGACATCTCATTCGACTCGGTGGTTCTGCAGTTACAGGCTCAGGAAGGGGCACAGCAGTGTCGTGATCTCCGTATAAACCTCCAAACGTGGTCTACGTCGACCCAATGAACGCACAGCAGCCCAGAATTACTCACGCTACCTTGCCACGACCCGCAGCTATCGTTAGAGCCGTCGATGACCTTAATCGGACCTGTGTCAGCCGAGATATGCTTACCCACGGGTTAACGGTGGTGCCGCAGGATGGTGTCGTAGATAAGGTTAACTACGACAGACATCACCCGCATCTCGGCGCACGGGAGCGTGAATCAACGTAAAACCGACTCAAATGGGTTCACACTATCCTCAGCTATCGTGCAAGCCATTACTTGGCTAGATCAGCCCGGTGGTGGCGGGCATACGGTCACCCACTGGGGTCCGGCCGCCCCGAGAGTGGTGTCGTAGTTAAGCGCTTAACTACAACACCACTCATTTCTTCGACCAAAGGCCACGACTCGACGCCAAACCATTTACGCTGTGTTGTTAGAGGTAGCGGGCGTCGTTGGAGTCGGTGGCGGGTGAATTTCATCCGGTGGGTTAGGTGGAACGCGTACATCCGAGGGCCACGGCGCCCCGGGGGATGGTGTCGTAGATAAGATTAGAAGCGCCCCTACCCGCATCCCAGCGCACAGAGTTTCAGTGACAGTGAAACCGATTTTATCGGAAAGCCACGATCTTCAGCTATCACGGAAGCTGCTACTCGGCTGCATCGGCCCGGTGGCTGCGTAGATACCGTCACCCGCAGGAGTCCGGTAGCCCCGAGCGTGGTTTCGTAGTTAAGCTTTATCTATGACACCACTCACTTCTTCAACCAAAGACGACGAATCGACACTAAACTATGTGTGCTGTGTCGCTAGAGGTAGCGAGTGTCGTTGGAGTCGGTAGCGGGTGAAATTCATCCGGTGGGTGCAATGAAACGCCTATATCCGAGGGCCACGGCAGCCCCTAGAGTGGGGGGGGGTGTCGTGGTTAAGCCTTCTCTACGACACCACTCAGTTCTTCCACCAAAGAATGGCCACGAGTCAACACCGTGCGCTGTGTTGCTAGAGGTAGCGGGCGTCATTGGAGCTGTTCTTGGGTGAAATTCTTAGGGTGAACACATACCAGTCGAGGGAACGCATGTAGAGTTTGTTGTTAGCGCAAAGGAAATATGGGGGGGCCCGCACGAATAGTAGACGTTGTACGCCAAATAGTTTCCGTTATTTTCTCGTTCTCGATGTATCTGCGCCCCACGCTGTCAAGCAACGCCCTCCGCACCGGCACAGCACCATGCCGGCCAGGAGGAACAGCAACGCATACTCTTCGACGGGAAAACCCGTCTACGAGGCTCTGTCTGATGTGCAGGAGGACCTTAGGCTGATCCTGTACGACGTCCGAGGGAACACTCACGGCATCGCCGTGGATAATCCTCGACTACAGGAAGCTCTTCGTAAGGCGTCGAAGCTACATGATCCCATCCTCAGTAATCCGCTGCCGTCACCGTCGCAGGTGTGCATTTTGCGCGCCACGACACGCCGTTGTTCGTTTGTCTTCGATGCAGTTGCAGCCCTGTCGTGCACACCGGGTTAGAGCATCCACAGCAGTTGCAAGAATTCGTGTAACAGGGAGCAACACTCCCTGAGACCAGAATCGGCGGAAACTAGCGATTGACTTTTTGCGCGCTACCGCTGCTGTTGCCCGTATCCACATCCCCTCCTTGAGTGGCGCAGGGGGGTACAATTCCTTACCTTCCTGCCTCCCTCCTGGTTTTCTCTCGCTTGCTCCGACCTCCCTCCTGCGTTTTGTCGCTAATTGCACGTCACATGTTTTGCTGCCTTCCTTAACTGTAAAAAAATAAAATTACAATCGGAGCAACAACCTACGGTGGCTACCACCCAGGCGTTCAGGATATTTTGCTCCCAGGTTTGCTCACATTTCTACAGCAGCAGCAGCTTTTCCTGCGTTTTTCCTGTGGTTTTGGAGGACAAACCTGTGACGTGTCCCTGATACTGAGGAAAGATTGTATCTCCACAGGTTCACGGAAGGTTTTTCATCCATACATTTCCGTTTCTGTTGAAATAATTTCGACATCATTTTCGGTGTTTTTTTATCCATTTCCATTATTGGGCGTGCAACGGCACTGCCGTGGTAGTGCCATGGCAGGTTACGGCGCTGCCGTGGCACGCCCAATAATGGATAAGCCCCTTAATTTTGTAAATTTCCGGCACACCCTTTGAGTCGGTTGTGTACCAAAACTAACTCATATCCAGTCTCTGTATCGAACAGTTTATCCACCGAATCGGACCTCGGTCCTGCAGTGGAGGTTCCTTCTTTGATTTCCAAGTGTCACGTTGTTCAAACCTGCAGGAACTAACGGATTCCATGTCAATGCGAATTCCTTTCCGATGCGTATGGCGCAAACGGATAAGGAACTACTAGACAAGTAACTTAGCAAAGGCTACTTCACGGCAGCTCTTCTTCGCGGGGTACAGCCCGTAGATGGGTTAGGCGCCGGGACGCCCTTTATCACCGCGGGTGACGGCAACTGCCTGTTGAACGCCGTGGCCCAGCTATTCGCGAAAAAAACCGGCGGGATGAGGAACGAGATTAAATCCTTGGCGGTGAAGCTACGACTGAGGGTGACCCTCGAGGAGATGCGGCACATGGAGGAATACCTCTCTTGTCAACAGGAATTCTTCATGTGTTGGTCCAACTACGGGGATGAAGTGCGAGAAGGACTGCCTAAGCTGGGGTGGACCATCGAAGCAGACGCGCACAACAAGCATCGAGTGGGGAGGGGGGGGGGGGGG